AACATTATCTGTACTGGTTTGATTGTGTTTGTATCGTCATGGTTTTGCTGCATGTTGATGAGAAAAACAAGAAAAAAAATTGATACGTCTGTATTGATTGTCAGTGTGAAGAAGGAGATCTGTACCGTTTAACGCTGCGTCGAGTAATTATATGACCAAAACCACATTTTATTCTACAAATAGTATGCCCCCCCCCCGCCCCCGGTAATATGAACGACAATCGATCTTTTAAACCATCATCCGTTTTTAGACCTCACCAGGTGACATTTTCTCATCACGTGATCTTTTACGTTGCATCCTCTGAAAGGTATAAGTAACCCCCTGACTCTACAAGTGGACAGGGTGCCTTTGTCGAATTCCATTTTACGTGAAAGGTATGTCGAGAACAACTAAGCAATTAGACCATTTATTGTGTCTGTTCAGGTAGCTTTGTAATTCTTGTGTGTTCCTTCTGTAGTAGTAGAGGTGTGTTCATTCACATGTAACCTTCATTTATGGACACGTAAAACAAGGCAGTGTCTTCTTCCTCCAACTGAAAAGGAAAGGGAAATAAAAAAAAAAACGCTTAAGAATGAAGATAACATAAAACAATTAAGATGGATTGCCGTAGAATGCTAAACTAATAATTGATAGATGTCCTTTATAAAAGGAAAAAAGAGACAGCGAGAGAGCGAGAAAAAGGGAGAGAGAGAGAGGGGGGGGGGAGAGTGAGAGAGACAGAGTTAGAAAGAGAGAGAGAGAGGGGGGGTAGAGTAAGATAGATAGAGATAGATAGATAGATAGATAGAGAGAGAGAGAGAAAGAGAGAGAGAGAGAATGAGAGAGAGAGAGAGAGAGAGAGAGAGAGAGAGAGAGAGAGAGAGAGAGAAATGAACAGTGTCAATATGTTGGAGTGATTGCATGCATACCTAAAACTATTGATGAGCCATTATTTAGATTCAAATCAATTCATATCTACAGACAGCTTTGTAATTGTATTCCAGACTTTGCATGTTGTAAGGGAGAAACCTTGTGTTGAAACTTGTGACTGTTCTACAGCTCTGGAAAATAGTCCATTGTTCTACCAAGGAGGCCATAATCTTCCAATGAATTTTTATTTTTGTTCAGAAAGCGCACGGGGTTTAAAGTACGCGTTTTTCGGTTGGGGGGGGGGGTGTCTGGGTTTACTTTCATTTACTTTCGTAGTTAATCTTGAGTACTCGTTATATTATATTGACCAAAAGTATTTTTTACTACAGAAAGCGAAGAGTTAGGCTTAACCAAAACCAGCCTTGTCAATGTCTCTAAAGCTCGAGTTTAAAACGAATAAAGGTTGTTCATATGAACATTTTTTAAATGTCCACCAGCGTGAATAGTATGAAATGTTTTCATTTGTTGAATGAACGTACTCTTTCGTAGATTACAACTGTTCTTATTAACACACAATAAAAAGATTAAAGAAAGTACACAGAAAAAAGATGCTCATTTAGCTCCAAGAATAAAAAGGTTCACTAATTTTTTTTAAATCAAGTACTGCCTTCCAAGATATTCTCAGCAGGTTTCTGAGAAACCACATTTCTGTTGCATCTGTTTTATTTTCACTGTCTTCAGTGATCGTCCAGTATTCACAGCCATATAGAAGAGCTGACCATATTTCAGAACTCTCTTTTGGTATTCATGCACGGGAATGTTTTGTTTTTTTCAAGATTAAAATCATTTTTATTGAAACTAACCATAGCCATTGTAATTTTTTGTTTTGTTTCTTTGGAACATTTGGCTTCAAACGTTATTCCAAATCCTAAATAATTTAAACTGTTGAACTCGTTTGATCTTTTCAATTTTGGGTGGGAGATAAGAAATAGGATTTACTACCTTTTTAGATATCACCATGCATTCTGTTTTCTTCATAATAAACAATAACCCTATACATTCACTTTCCGAAGCAACAGTACCTAGAAGTGATTAACGGTCTCTTTCTGAGTCTGCTATTAAAACTGTGTCATTTGTTATATCTGATGTTATTAAAATTTTTGCCATTCACTTTGAGACCAGGACATTCTGTTATGTTCACATCGTTGCCTCACTCCTCTTCTAATCTCCTTATTTTCGCTGTATTCTCCTTTAATTCTTACAATAATGCCCATTCATAAACGGATTCCAGTTGATAGCATGCGATGACTTTAGGTGATTTCACAAACTTTTCTGTTTACTTTCTGTACTAACAGGCAAAACGACGTTTTCAAGTATTTGAAAACTGTTATCAAGCTAAATTTGAATCGCCATGCTTTCATTACATGAGTTCAAATCCATACTTGTATTGGGGGTTATCGCCTTATGCTAAAACGCCCTAACAAATAAAACATTTGAAAACTAATAAGTGAGGCATCGTGATGAAATCAGGCGCGCGTTAAAATACTGAAATCGAAGAAACTAGCATTTTTCCTCTAGTTTGGTGGCATTTTTCAAAAACGAATTTGTGTGTTTTGGCTAAACACTTTTAGTGTCAATTTAAAACCACATTTCACTGTGGATTTTTTTTAAAATGTTAATAAAATACACAATAAACGTACATTTCCAGTTTCCAAGGACTCTTAAGCTAATCAAGTTGCCAAAATTTGGATGTCATTTAACCGCTATATTTACCTCTGAAACCAGGCCACCCCACTTTTCTCCAATTGCAAATATCTCGACTTATATTTAACATAGATGGATACTTTTTTTCATCATAAGCGAGGTTAATGGACAAGCTTTAAAGGTACTACAAAAACTAACCATGCCCAAAAAGTGACAAGCACCTGATTCCACCGTGTTGTGACACCTTTTAATATGCTCCATCTAGCATTATTATCCATCTGCAACCAAGATACGTTACACACTCTATTTTAACTCTGTAGTTTCATCACTTAACAGGCTAACTCTTATACATTAAAATGTTAATTCTAATTATGTCTAAAAGGTTAGTGATGTGTCAAAAGGAGAAAGAGAGTGAAAGCGTGTATATATTATATATATATTATATATATGATATTGCAGAGGGTTTCAAATGGAAAAAACAACAACCCAAAACTGAACAAAATGTCTTATATTCACCACAACAGCGCGGACCGATTCCACTTAATTTCAGAGTTTAGCACTTAGTTTGGGATATTTCCGTTACGATAAACCCTTGGTATTAGGTCAAATTTCTCAAAGATTGTTTTATTTATTGTTTCACAGATCTTTTGACAAAAGGATGAAGCTGAATATGCTGACCGTGCTGCTGGGCCTTCTGGCTTTGGCTTCTTCCCAACGTAAGTCTAGCAAAACATTGTATTGTTTGTTGATGTTTTGTTTGCTTGTTTTTGTAAGGTTTTACGGCATTCGCAACTGCATACAGTCATATGAGCGCCAAGGGTTGGATGTCAACAGAGAAGTCTAAACGAGGAATCAGTCTTACTCTGCTCACCTCTCTAGCTTAAACAGCACAAAGTCTGCTTCAACTATCAAGGCATCCCGGAAATAGCAGTTCACTAGAGAGAGGCACACATACAAAAGAAGTAGAGGTAAAATGACGATAGTAAGGATGAGAAAAGAAAAAGCAGCAGTTCCCGGTTTGTTGTTCTGGCACAGTATGAGCATGACATTGATAAATCAGCCCATTTACAATTCTACTGAGCACAAGAACATATTAATATCCCCACTTTGGGAATGGCCAAAGACACTTCGGTCAGTTATAAGTAGCACTGCCTGGGGGGTGGGGGTGGTGTTGATGTTAACTATCTTTGTGGTAAAGGATAACACTGTCTGTTAGAAGCTGACCACTTCTGTAGCAAACGTTGACGCCGCCTGTTAGATGTTGACCACTTATGTAGTAGATATTATTGCTGCCTGTTTTTCTATAAGTGTTTTACGTCGCTCACTACTGCATAAGGTCATCTAAGCAGGCGCATACATTAAACATCTTTAGTTGGTAGGAAAGAAAGTCCGGTCACAGTCAGGGCCTGTCTAATCGAAAACCATTCTGAAAATTGATGCCATCTCCGTGTTCAATTTATTGTTCGAAATCCACGAATGCAAACAGGTGGAACCCTACTTACACCCTGAATCTGAAACTTGCGTTGTTCTCCTTGGGCACAGGTAATCCGGGATTACCAGATAATAACACGGTGAAAGTACTGCGTAAGAGCAATGCGCGACTTTCAGCTAACTAGGGCTCCGAGCCCAGATTCGATCATTCCCATGCACAAAAAGGGGTGGGGGTTGAGAATTATTTTTAACACGTTAATCAATCCTATCGCCTATGAAAGGCAAAGTCATTGCTCAGGATGCAAGGACAAGTCTGTAAATTGTGTCTGAATAACAGGGAGGCCAAACGTACATGAGGCCATCTTTAACAATTCAATGTGATAATATGTCTATAAAATCAGTAAAACCTTTTTTTTTGCGGGTCACTGTGCCAATAATCCCCCCTCGTGTCGACATAGATCTACATTATAAAGACTTCATCTAAACTTCTTTCTTCTCATCTTGCGATTTTCAGTATACTCATACCCGAGCAAGTGACCTCTCAGACGAGGAACTTGTTTGCACACTGCGCACTATCAAAACTCCGTTTACTGAACGAAAGCGAGGCAAACCTCCAAGCCAGCAGGCGCACCAAAAAAGCCATTTCAAAATATTATTTATGAACAATACGCACAGGACCTTGGGGTGTTCTGTTTTTATAATAATGGGGAGGGGTGGGTTTCTTTTTTCCTTTTTTTTTTGGGGGGGGGGAGCAGTACAGAGGATAAGAGTATTAACAACATTTTTGTCTATAAAACTAATACTTTGGTGTGCTGCCTAATTCTGTTGTTAGTGACGTTCGGATTATAAGTTTTAAGATTTTTTCAACAGAGTTCCAAGTCTAAAGTGGGATTTTCATGTACTCAGCAGATCTTTATATTATTATTTTTCGTGCTTGGATGCTTTCTTGTTTACTAAAATGGTGATCAAGTTAATAGGTCGAGGAAGCCCATATAAACAAGTAGAAAGGTTGATGAAGACCGGAGGCTCAATTTCATTCAAATGCGACCACAGATTTTTTAAATACATGTTCATTGCTGTAACAGCAATGTTTTGTCATATTTTACCAAATGCAGGATCAGTAATATACATTATTTTTATTTCATCTTCTTAATATACGATCAGGTGTGCAGCTCAGTCCTCCCGCATTCCCTCGGTACAGTCAACAGTCTCCAGTTTCCAACAAGCTCAAAGACGCATCATCAGTCTACGAAGTCGCGAGCGACTCTGCATATGAAAATAACATAGAGACCTCCGAGTATATGAATGACTATTTCGCGCACTACGATGACTATTCTGCTTATGCCAATGAAATGTCAGCCTCTCAGTACATTAATGACTATTTTGCACACTACGATGACTATTCTGCATATGCCAATGAAATGTCAGCCTCTCAGTACATTAATGATTACTTCGCACACTACGATGACTATTCTGCATATGCCAATGAAATGTCAGCCTCTCAGTACATTAATGATTACTTCGCACACTACGATGACTATTCTGCATATGCCAATGAAATGTCAGCCTCTCAGAATGCTGAAGATGACTCTTCTGCGTCTCCCAATAAGAGAGCAGGCGACAAGTACATAAATGACTACTTCGCTCACTACGATGACTATTCCGCGTATGCCAATGAAATGTCAGCCTCTCAGAATGCTGAAGATGACTACTTCGCTCACTACGATGACTATTCTGCGTATGCCAATGAAATGTCAGCCTCTCTGAATGCTGAAGATGACTATTTCGCCCACTACGATGATTATTCCGCGTATGCCAATGAAATGTCAGCCTCTCAGAATGCTGAAGATGACTCTTCTGCGTCTCCCAATAAGAGAGCAGGCGACAAGTACATAAATGACTACTTCGCTCACTACGATGACTATTCCGCGTATGCCAATGAAATGTCAGCCTCTCTGAATGCTGAAGATGACTATTTCGCCCACTACGATGATTATTCCGCGTATGCCAATGAAATGTCAGCCTCTCAGAATGCTGAAGATGACTCTTCTGCGTCTCCCAATAAGAGAGCAGGCGACAAGTACATAAATGACTACTTCGCACACTACGATGACTATTCCGCGTATGCCAATGAAATGTCAGCCTCTCAGAAGGCCGAAGATGACTACTTCGCTCACTACGATGACTATTCCGCGTATGCCAATGAAATGTCAGCCTCTCAGAATGCTGAAGATGACTCTTCTGCGTCTCCCAACAAGAGAGCAGGCGACAAGTACATAAATGACTACTTCGCACACTACGATGACTATTCTGCTTATGCCAATGAAATGTCAGCCTCTCAGTACATTAATGATTACTTCGCACACTACGATGACTATTCTGCGTATGCTAATGAAATGTCAGCGCTCCAGTAAGCTAGCAGTCATTATTAAGAATACGCAAAAGATTTTGTCTCCAAACATGATCAAGAATATCAACATGAAGGTGATTAGTGATTTGAGCAACAGCCACATCGTATTCTTTGCTAGGACAGCATTCTTATACTCTTTTGGCAAAATATTCTTCTCGATTTTAAAATGATTATCATGCGTCTGTCAGTTAAGAATTTTATTTTTATCATTACCTGCTTTACTTTGAATAAGATAGCACCATCCATTATTTTTTGGAATAATATTCTTCACAATAGATTTCTACTGAAATTTCAAGCATTTCAGATGAATACATTAAGGAAGTGCAACGAGATAATGTTTCCTCTTTTTAAAATACTAAATGTTACCAGCAAATCTGCATCCAAAGAAAAAAAATGCCTCGCTTACCCCAATGTATAACTCATGTCTAAAAACACTGCTATGCTTATTGTGTACAATGGTTACCTGTTGCTCTAAAAAATCGTGGGAAATCTGCTGAGCTGGACATTAAAGCTGAATGATTTTGGTTAAAAAGTAGGGTAATTACGTATTGGATTTTTTTAAAAAGTATTTTTAATCACACAACAATCCGTCTACTTGGTACTATTCTTGTTTTGCACTAAGTACTGAAATGAACTGTCATCTGTTTCAAAACGTTAGTATAAAATCAGGGGGAATCAAAATTGAAGAAAGCATGCACAACCTGCACGGAGACTCACGTTTACAACCCCTCAAACATTCACCCATCGACGTACAAGAAAACATTTCTGCACGTGCACCCACACATACACACATATATACAAACATACACACACACACACACACACACACACACACACACACACACACACACACACACACACAATCGGTACATGCGGTACTCTCAGAAATACGCGAAAGGAATTCCAAGGAAAAAGAAAATACATTTTTTTTATAGCTAAGCACAAGGCAGGAAAACTTACCTTCTTTTCCACAATACCTGTAGACGTCTAAAACACCAAACATGCCGTGTGTTTTCTGTTCTCGTCTGCTCCTTCTGTGTAGAAATGGGAGAATTTATTTTATTCTGACAAAAATGTAAAACAGTAATAAACAAGTCTACAACTGAGTTAATGCGTTGACTGTTTTGTTTCTTGTTTTTCATCTTTATATAACTGCTACTCGTGGGTCTTCATTGTATGTAATGTTAAATATAAGAGCAAGACAGGTCGATAGCATGATACCTATGAAGCATCGACAACGTCATATAAAAAAAACCTGTTTTACAGAGTATCATAAAGAGCTCATTGTGTGTGCTTGCGATCATAATGTATATCCCCTTGTGAAGCGTATTTGAGCTAAGGCTTCGGGGGAATTATACATGGGTCTGCAGCCTTTTGGAACTATGCTGTTGATTGTGCTGCTTGAGAGTGAGTACACAAGAATAAACTTTTCTGGACTAACTCATGTGATTTTGCAGGTCACCAAAACACGAGAGTTTACACAACCTCTTAATGATTGAGTTTAAAAAAATTGTATACTAAGGTAATATAGTAATTGTAATATACAGTGGCGTCCAAAAGAAACTTTACAAAGTGTAATCACCCAATCGTCGTACTATAGCCTTGCACTACCCTCTCGTGCAGCATATCAATGTAAAGCTAAATAAATTCTTTATAATCTGACACATTAATATTTCATCTACGTTAATAGGCGCCTGTGATATGGTCACTCAAAATTGACCTTAAAAAATCAGGCTTGGCAAAATTGTGCGAAAACAAAGACACGTAAAAGTGTATTCTCGCCTATGTGAAGGTGCTTAAACAGTGGTGGCCAACATTGGTATAATGGACATGAATTGAATATCAATTTAAAAGAAACTGTTATTGTCTCCGCAATGAACTACAGCTTCTGAAGATATTTTAAAACATATTGGAACACAGAGTTATGATAAATACAACGCAAAACCTGGACTTAACATTACATGTGCTCATTTTGTTAAGGTGATATTGGTTTCTTTTAGAGCATGAAGCATTCTTTGCACATTGACTGCTTTAGTTAGATTTTTGGACATAATCATATGTCAGTAAAGAACAAAGGCCACGGAACGGAATGGTTTTGGGTGGTCTAGGATGGAATCGTGAGAATCACAGAATGCCTTGGTTTAGTGAGTTACATAGCGCAAGTGCTGGAACGTCATGTCTTATTCTTATTTTCGTCATGGTGTCATTCAAGTAGACATCTTCATAAATAGCAAAGCACTTTCTGACAAGGCCAATGCCACCAAACAATTCCAGAAAAACCAAATCATATCCACGCTGGAGTGGTCACCATTAAATAGCCCCAGTATAAATCCTGCAAGTGTGTGAAGTCCCATGAAACAGTAGCTGAAGAAAAGCTACTTTGCTCCCAATACAGACCCTTTGTTTGCAACTCTCCGTGACATTTGGGAAGAAAATAACTGGTAATTACTTCCAAAATTTAATAGAGTCGATACCCAAAGGGTTGGTGCTCTATTCAAAACCATGGCTCCTAAGCAAAATAAAAATGGGCATATATAGTGTTGTCCAAATTTTACGTTAAATTTTGTGATTGCTCTGTTCTCCATTTTGTTTGAAGCTATCGTAATAACACACTGTTAAGAGCAGAGACAAAATCATCCGTTCATTGGATATGCAATGTATGTCCATTCTATCAATAATGGTGCTCCCCAATATACGCGTGAAGACAATTTTACGTTGGGTTTTTTAATATTTCGGACGATTTTGCAAAGGCTGTTGTTTAAGGTCATTTTGAGTGACCATATTGATTATCTCGAGTGTCTCTTAATGTATATGCATGATTATTTAATCAGATGGTGCAGAATTCAATTGGTATGTTACATGAATGGGTAGAGCAAACCTTTAACACGATATTTCGGGATTACATTTTCAAGTTTCTTTAGGACGCCTCTGTACTATGTATACATGCCCTTACGTATTGCTTTCGTCGATCTGGCAAAAGCTTCAATACAGTCGGTTGATCAGGACTGTATGGTGCTTGGAAAGAGTGGCTGTTCTCCAATACAGCTACAGCGCATCATTTCATTCCACGAAAATTTAAAGGCCACTATTCAGTTTGATGGTTCAACATCAAACAGCTTCAATATCAATAGTGGAGTGGAACAAGGTTGTTTCTTTGTACCAACCCTTTGTTGCATTTATTTAGCTGCTTTACTGCAATACGCATTCGAAAAATCACCAGGAAATGTCTTCTTCTTTTGAAGAACTGCTCAAATCCTGGTCAAAACCAAAATTAAAAAATCAACAGTACGTGACCTTTTTTTCACCAGTGATGCTGCTCTTGTTGCTCACGGAGAATCAACCCTAAAATCAATGATGGATCACCAATCAACAACATGCAAGGTCTTCAGCTTGGCCGTTCGTGTTCAGAAAACAGTCATCATTGATCAGGAAAATGCAGAGCAGAGCCATATTTGGCTGTACGACAAGGGACTTGAGACAGTGTATAAGTTCTGTTACTTAGGGGTCTTCCATCACCTCTACTACATCACTTCATGATGAGATCAACATCAGGATAGGGAAGCAGCAACAACTCTTGGAAGGCTGACAAAACGAGTTTGGGAAAACAAAAGACTAACCCTAAAGAAGAAGGATCAAGATTTGCGAAGCATGTGTCCTTAGCACACTTCTTTATGGGTCTGGCACATGGATCTTATACAGCAGGCAAGAAAAGCGCCTAGGCATTTGCCATCTCAGATGCTGCTGCAAGACCTTAGCCATTTCGTGGCGTGACAAGGTTATCAATATTGAAGTGTTGGCCCGGGTAAACCTCCAGAGCATAACAACTATCCTGTGTAGCTGGGCCATGTCAAGAGAATGGACGACAACCGAATTCCTAAACCACTTCTCTATGGAGAACTTGACCAGGGAAAGAGACAAAGAGGAATACCAAAAATGAGGTACAAAGACACCTGCAAAAACAACTGTATCTAAGTCTGGAGAAGATGTCAACATCTGGGAAGAAATAACTGAGGACATAAAAACATGGAGGAGCACGATAAAGAAAAGAACTATTGTGTTAAAGAGCAGCCTTCAGCGATGGTGTTTCTTGTTATTGCATTCGTCCCTGAAACAGTCTGTTTGTTGACTATGGTGTGATAAAACTGTCTTAGTTAAAGGTCTTACAATATGTCAAAAGTGTATTCCAAAGTTCGGAAAGTGTACGGGGGGGGTCTGAAAGGTCACTGGTAAGTGAACAGTTGCCAACTGAAAACCCGTGAGGGTATAAAACCGTTTACCGATATTGACCGATTCTACAGAAATGTGGTTTCTTGTGAGAGAATTGAGAATTTCAAGGAAGGAAAAGAATTCATATGAAGTGGCACTTTAAGAAGCCTAATAAACATGGACCGCTCATTGATAAAAATAATTTGGAGGTGAAAAATACAGTTTCTAACAATTTTCTTCGAAAGACTATATAAATTGGTGACGGGGATCGACAAGGATAACAATTATAGTTTTTAGTGAACCCAAGCAATGGAATGAATGTCAAACCATGTGGCAAAATGTGAAATCGTAAAGGTTTAAAGTCCCTAACTACACCCTAAGGTATTTCAGTGGTGGGACCTCCAAGTTTAATCCTTCCAGACCCATTCTCGTATATTTTCAGCAGCGCTTGTACCTCCTACCATCTCAAGAGCGTATATTCTCAATTTCGGGAGGCACTGAATTTTCACATTTTTTTAATTTAACGAACTAAATTAAACTTTAATTGCTATAATAACTGTTCATTTACCTTTAAACATTGTTATATGTTATTATTTAACCCACACTTCAAAGATACTACTTACTTTTTAGAATGCGTGCCTCTTTTTTCTGAGATGCTGCTGTATTGACTGGGACTGGGGTTAGGGAGTGCACAAAAATGTCTGGGGCTGGAAGGGTTAACGTCCATGTCTAAAAGGACCGAGTTAAATAGGAAATTCGCGCCAAAAGTACACAGAGTGGGACAGAGTTGAAACTCGAGCCCCCGAACCTGTAATCTCGCAATAATGGACCATGTAGTCTAACCACTAGACCTCCGACGCCACCATGGCACACCATTACCTGTTGCAGATCGGGAACTTAATAATGATGATGATCATACACCAAAGCAAGTTTACTAAACTGGACAATTAAGAAGAAGATTCTGTATCTCCGCTTTGAAAAGTGAATTGCAATCCAGATTTTAAAAAATTGGGTAATATTATTCTCCACCAATTCAAATAAAAACTAGAGAAACTGCCAAATAATTTTAAAACTTTGGAGTAAATATTCAATTTATTTTCGGTCTGGGGAGCAAGGGGACAGACACTGCCTCTAGCGTTCTATTTCCATTAAGTATGCTTTTTGTTGGAATATCTCGGGACTAAATGCTAATGAAACACGAATACATATGAACATTTTCTGACCACTATTTTCAAAAACCCTAGGAAAAGCAAAATTGTAATGCATGTTTGTGGAATAGTACTACCTCGAGAGCAGTAGATCTAGTTCCGTTCCCTTGAAGAAAGAAACACTGACGAAGAGAAACACTAACAAAGAGAAGAGGGAATGGCATCACCGCCACCACCACTACCATCATCATCATCATCATCATCATCATCATCATCATCATCATCAACATCAACATCATCATCATCATCATCAGCAGCAGCAGCAGCAGCAGCAGCAGCAGCAGCAGCAGCAGCAGCAGCAGCAGCAACAGCATCACTCCCACCACCAGCTGTACTGGATGCTTATAAGAATAGTTGCCCCCTCTGTATTCAAGGCACAGAGCGCAATAAGTGTCTCCTGACTTTTCCACCGCCTGAAATCAATGTTTTTCTGGTTGAAAAACATAAGTTTACTGAAAAGGCAAAGAATACTCAGAGATAATTGAAAACTGAGGACTGTTTCTGACACAAAACACATCTTTATTCTGCAGCTTCATAGCAACACGTACAATAAGACTCTTGTCCTCCTAGTTTACAGAAATGCTGTCATTTGATATGATTATTTTGTTGCCATGGCGATGAACGCAGAGAGCGAAGTAATCCAAAGTATCAAGTATCACCGTTTCTCTCCGGAAGCTTGAAATGTGTCTCGA